GGCTGAACAGTGAACCTCGGAAGTGACTTCACCACTGAGCTAAAGGGGTGTCTGGGGGCGTACTCTCGGGGTTTCTCCAGTCTCCTTTAGGCTAGTAAATCTGGTCATTTTTTTTGTGTGTGAGTTAGAATTTTGTTCTACATCCTTCCCAGCTCTGTCCAGAACCCTCTGTTGTGATCCTGGTCAGAGCAGTCAGTAGTGGTAGCTGGGCACCATCTAGCTGTACTGGACTCAGTCTAGTGAAGGCCTTGGTAGCTGTGGTCCATTACTCCTTTGGACTAATCTTTCCCTTATATCCTGTTCTCTTCACACTCCCTTGCTCCCTAAGGGATGAGACCAGTGGAGTATCTTAGATGGCTGCTCACAGGCTTTTAAGACCCCGGACACTACTCACCAAGGAAGAATGTAGAACCTTGTCTTTATAAACTGTGTTATGCCAACTGAGCTAGATGTTCCCTGAGACCATGGTCCCCACAGCCCTCTGCCCAGCAATTCAGTCTCTCAGGGAGTTTGGATGTGTCTATGGAGCTTCCATGACCTTTCCTTGTATAAGTCGTGCTAGTTTCCCCTGTATTGTGTACTGCCTCACCCTTCACCCAAGATACCACTTATCTATTGCCTGTTTAGTATTTCCCCCCCACCCCTCCCATCCCAGGTAACCAACAAAGAATGTTACTTTTTGTGGGTGAACTTTTCATGGGTTTTTACAATAGAGGTCACATACAATATTTGTCGTTTTGTGATTGACTTATTTCACTCAGCAGAATGTCCTCCAGTTTCATCCACATTATGAGATGATTCACAGATTCATCATTGTTCTTTCTCGTTGCATAGTACGCCATTGTGTGTATGTACCATAGTTTGTTTATCCATTCATCTGTTGATGGGCATCTAGGTTGTTTCCATCTTTTTTCCTATTGTGAGCAATGCTGCCATGAACATAGGTGTGCATATGTCTGTTCGAGTGACGACTCTTATTTCTCTAGGATATATTGCTAGTAGTGGGATTGCTGGATCGAATGGTATGTCTATTTCTAGCTTTCTAAGGAAGCACCATATCATTTTCCAAAATGGTTGTATCATTTTGCATTCCCACCAGCAGAACATAAGTGTTCCAATCTCCCCGCAGTCCCTCCAACATTTGTTATTTCCAGTGTTTTTGATTTGTGCCAGTAATGCCGGGGTGAGACGCTATCTCCTTGTGGTTTTAATTTGCATTTCTCTAACAGCTAGTGATCGTGAGTATTTCCTCATGTGTCTGTTGGCCGCTTGAATGTCTTCTTTGGTGAAGTGTCTGTTCATTTCCTTTGCCCATTTTTTAATAGGATTATTTTTCTTTTTGTTATAGAGGTGTTGGATTTTCTTGTATATTATGGAGATTGGACCTTTGTCTGATTTGTACTGTCCAAAAACTTTTTCCCAGTCTGTAGGTTCTCTTTTTACGCTTTTGGTGAAGTCTTTTGAAGAGCATAGGTGTTTGATTTTTAGAAGATCCCAGTAATCTAGCTTATCTTCTGGGGTTTGTGTGTTGATGGTTATGGTTTGTATCCTGTTAATGCCGTGTATTAAGGCCTGTAGCGTTGGTCCTATGTTTTCTTCTATGAACTTTATTGTTTTGGGCTTTATGTTCAAGTCTTTGATCCTTTTTGATTTAGTTTTTGTATATGACATGAGGTATGGGTCCTGTTTCATTTTTTTGCAGATGGATATCCAGTTTTGCCAGCACCATTTGTTAAAAAGACTGTCTTTTACCCATTTGATGGACTTTG